ACGTCTGACGGTATAATCACTGTTATATTCCAGCCGCATAAATTTTTCGATTTCTATCCTCCTTGCCCAGCATCTGAAAACAACATTATAATATAATTATCACTTTTTAAAGTAACTGTCACAATAATCATTACTCAGCTGATGCGAGCACGCGTTCTTAAAGTAGCTGACACGAGCCTAGAGAACATGGCTGCCTAAAGGCATCCTTTCAAGCTTAAGCCCCATTTTCATGAATCACATTATAAACTTTTGGACAATCGCTTGTTAAAATTCCCCAGAATCTCTAAAATTGATCGTAAATGGATATTACTAGAGGCCTAGATAATCAGAGAAGCGACAACTCTCTACCCCCACCTAAAGTCCTATACCCCCACCATGGTTCCCATCGGGCCCGCAGCTGATCGCTTGTGAAAAAACTAACCTCTGAAGCGTCGTCTACAATACGCGGAGTAAAAAATAAAAGTAGGCGTAAGAAGTGAGAAGTAAGTGTAAAATAAAGCTAAAATAAAGGCGTAAGCAAAATAAATTATTTTTATTTCTTAGTCCAACTTTAGCTCTTACACTTACAAGCGTACTATGAAGTAAGAGTAAGAAATAAAAATGACTTATTTCGCTGATGCCTACTCTAGTACTTTTAATTATATCTTATTGAAATGATAAAGTAAGTAATGTTATTATCATAATGTGACATTTGTTTTGTTCATTGTCTAGGAACCAGTTCATGAAATAAAAATAGAAAAACAATGTAACGAGACTGATACTACTTCTGTTCAAGTATCAAATGAATATTTTGCAAAGGTCAGTATTAATAGCCGCTTTTGGAAAACAAAGCGATCAGTGAGCGGTCAGTGATTATTGGCCTGTACTATTAGATCTTTTTTAGACCAATTACATTGACCAGTTACTTAGCTGTTGTGCAACCGTTATTTCCTGAACGTACCCAATGTCATGTGCTTACAATTGTATAAAATGTCAATTAAAATTTTCATTTGTGTTATAACGTATGTTACAGATTCGTGCTATTGAAGAGAGACATTCAATCCCTTTTCTACTTTTCAAAACAGAATGTTATACAATTGAGGAACTGAAATTGCAGTGTAGCAAAGCATCACAAGTTCTTCAAGACCTGAGAGTTGAACGTGACTTAGGCCTGCAGCAGTTATATGTAAGATGTTCAGTGAGATTGCCAAAATGGAGAAGACATTGCGTAAGTTACAGTCTACTGCTACTAAATGTAATTCCAAGAAGTGTACAACAAGGAAATAGACCTAAACACTTGTGTTCATTGTGTCATATTATTTGTAATATTTTTCTGATTACGAGTTTTATAATTATCCGTTATATTTGTTATACCTCATACTGTCTTTAAAATAAATGGCAATCATACATAATGTGTTTACTTTTTTATTCGAGCCTTGTCATAACATAAATACATAACATATATGTATATTCGTAATTCGTAAAAAAAAAAATTATAATAGTAATACTGAATTTCGAACTTATAAGAGAAAATAAAATTGCACGATATAAATACATATGATATAGATACATGTATAAAGTTTCTTGGTTGTCCAGTATATCAGCAGTGGTTGCACCCAACTAAAAAAAAATGCATAAACAAATATATACAAAAGGTCGACCACAATTTCAAATAAACCTGGAAAAGAAAAGAAAAATCCTTTACCTGATTATTGCAATCATTGTCGGAATCTTTTTGTGCCACTGATACTGTCATGTCCTCTTGCAATAAAGCCGATGATGCAGTTAGTCTACTCGTCAACAATGGATGTTTGGTTGATGGCGTTGAACAAGATGTAGATTCATTATCGATGGTTTTCATTGCATGTGTGACATCACTATGTTCATCTTTCAACCATCTTATACTCAGCCATAATTCCTCACCTTTATGAGTATTTCCTACTTCTAAACAGTCCTGTACCTGCTGGAAGAATGTATTTATAAAAAAAAAATTATTTTTACAAACACTATGGCTGCGTTCCAATATTCTCACTGCCAGTACTGAAAATCTATAGTTTCCGTTACGTATACTATAGATTTTCAGTACTGGCAGTGAATATCGGAACGCAGCATATATGATATTTTGGCACAAAAGTGATAAAAATCGAGAGAATACTTACTTCATCACAAGTTAATATTTTCAAGCAGTATGCATGCTCATTCTCTTTTTCTTTACCTATAATAGGGATATTTGTTATATCCTTCAAACATTGTGCGGTTTGTCGAAATCTTCGTATAATTTTTGGATTACAATGATTTTCACTGTCTTGAATTTCCTCTATTTGCAATGAGGGAATAGCAGATGTTTTCAGCCTTCGAAGAATTCCATTTCCTCTTGTGTGCTCCACATAGTTCTCAGGAACAAAGTGCAACTGCAACAAAATAGACAATACATGATAAACATACACACATCTGAAGGCATGTTTCAATATTTTATGAATCTTATAAAATACCTCACAAACTCTGCTATTACATTTCAGACTCCACCCGGGACGGTTAATCCAAGCTACCCACGCATTTCAATGTTCCACATTCTTAGGAAATTTATGCATAGATAGTCTTTCTTTTTTGGTTGTTGTACACCCAAATACCTCACACACTTTTACCATCTTTATTCTTTATTCAAACTCTTGATTTCTGTAAAGACGACGAATGTAATAAGTTTATAAAAATATTTAAAATATGATCACATTCTCTCTCAAATTAGTTACAAGTGAACAGAAATATTACTGATTATTGTATGATATAACCCTCATCCACACAAAATGCATATATTTACGATGTCCCAAAAACTTCACGAATGTCTACAATTCTTTTCTTAATAATATTAAAAATATATTAATTTGTTTCACTCACCTAACCTCGATGTAACACGTTACTTTGGGACAACCTTTCTGTCGGCGAGTGTACGAGGACAATTATACGGCCAGCAATTTCCACTGTTTTATTACTAAGTCTGGTATACTGTTGCGCAGCGAGGTCTCAATGGCAATTACAATTAATGCAGACAGTATCAGTCGCAGTACTTAAAAAAATTTCCCGTTCGGGCAAAACGTCCGAACACGTTCGAGCATGCCAACGTCGCCAACCGACTCGTGCAGCTATCAGTGGTGCACACGGAATCAGCTGCGGGCCCGATAGCCTCGGTTTTGATTGGTGCCGCGGTCAGCCAATCAGCAAGCGTGCCCTCAATGTCGCTTCTCTGATTATCTAGGCCTCTAGTATCTAGATATTACAAGCTTTATGAGATCCTTTATGCAATATATATTCAGTTTGACACGCGAATCTAACGAAAATAAATGCATGATCCATAGGAATAAACTAAGGAAACTAAAAAAAAATATAAATAAATAAATTAAAAGCAGATTTTATTCATCAGAATATAACCTTTTGTGCCTCTAGAGAGGGCTCCGTTTGCCTACGTTCCCGATTGCCTACAGAGCGATTGCACACATATCATTATTACGCACATAAAATAAGAAAATCATATTAGCACTTTGCACACATGACATTATTGCGCACATACACATTGCACACATAACATTATTGCGCACATAAAATAAGAAAATCATATTAGCACATTGCACACATGACGTATTGCACACATATAATAATAACAACTTTTATTTCTACAATTGTTTATTTATAAATTATTTATAATAATCATATAAAATCTTTTATAAAAAATTTATTTTATTATAAAATCAAAACCGCTTAAATAAAGAGAATATAACCAATATGCAAATTAAGGAGTACTAATTTAGTTAATTAATAATTTGTTATTAACAAATACATATATCAACAATAAAATTTTCCAATGTTATATTATACTTAGTGAAAGTCCTACAATATATTTCCTATACACTCCTATCAAATTTCCAACCATTTGCGAGATATAAAAATAATAAAAATCTTATTATATAAACAATTTAGTTTTATTGTACTAATGAGAATGCTAACCATTTCTACCTGCACGATACATTATTAACAAGATATTAGAAACATCACTACAACTGCTAAAATCACTTTTATCAATATTATTATTATTAATAAAATATATATATATATATATACTTACTAAAATTAATATAAATTTCGAGCGTCAAACGTCGAAACGTCACCCACGAACCTGAAAAGATAGAATTGTATATGCGTAGCATAAGGAACGCGAATCCAAGCGAGATGCGAGTATTGTACAATCTGAAGAAGAGAAAGAGAGAGTCTGATATACCATAGTAACTGTTAGACAAAGAGAGCAATATCTTTTATACTTTAGACATGCTAATAATAACTTTAATTGTACTATTGAATTATTCTACTGTATGTAAAGTATGTCTGAAGAAACTTAAATAATATTCAACATGTATTTGCACAATTTAAAAATAAAACATTAAAGATTTCTTATATTCCTTCATAATAAAAGTCATATTGAGATTTTATAATGAAAGAAGGTATCGCTCTTAATACAAATCGCGGTCAGAATAGAGAATAGAAATAGAATTCAAATGAGTCACCTGTATGACTCATTCGAGTGAATCTAGTCTTCGCATAGACCATATATGGACATGTCGAAGCAGAGTGCAACGCATGACCATATAAGGTAATGAATTTCAAGACACCACCCTATGACTCATTGCTGGCAAGCGAGCCACACCACTAGAAGTAGACTCACATCCGCTAGACAACGCCTTATGACGCATTGTAACGAGGTGCGATCACCTCCCATCTACCGTTTCCAAAATTGTATAAAAGCAGAATCTTTTACCCTCTCGACGGAGAGTCTCTCGACGGAGAGTGTGGAACGAGCCAGGAAAAGGTCACATATCTTATACTTGTTCCATCCTCCCACATAAACTACTTGTCTCGTAAAAGTTCTACAATAAATATCATACTCTTTTATATCAAAAGAAAGATAAAGATTAATGAATTACCTACTTTCGACGGATCCAAGGAGCCATAATCTACACCGCCGACCAACAGCTATTAGTCCTGAAGTTTTACCTCCTTAACTGCAAGAAAAAAAACCCATCAACGGAAACGTTCTGCTGGATCGAGCCACCTCGCATCACTCAGGACGTCACAAGTTGAAATTTTTGGTGGCAGCGGTGGGATATCCAAAAAGGTGATCCCGACAGGAAGGCTGAAAGGATTGGACATCTGGAAAGCATCCCTTGGGACAACACTTCAATTCTCTGGAAGCTGAGTGAGCCAGTAGCGGAAGTAGAAGCCGATTGCTGTATTCATTCTACGATATCCTGTCTCTATTTTAACGAAAAAAGGATACTTTCCGGAGAGCAGCTGCAGGGATAAGGCTGCGAGCGTGTGGACAAGGCTTCATGGAGTCGCGCATAATTATCATTCTTCTTTTCGTTATCATACGATACATGTAAGTGCGAACTTGTCAATATTACGAACTTTTACATTTCCTTTTTAACAAATAAGTAATTATAGTAAATAAAAATGGCTTCAGACGGAATAAATGATTTAACTAGACAGATAGGCGATATGAATATCGACGCAACCGACGCGAATCGTAGAACTGTAAATGCGCCGTACATAAGTTTGCGAGATGCAGCTGAGGCAATCCTCCCGTTTGATGGAAAAAATATGCCCGTCCTACAGTTTGCTAATAGTTGCATGCACGCAACTATTAAAAATATGATTTCTCCTACCGCGGAATATGGACTTGTTCAAATGATAAAAAATAAATTAGTCGGACCTGCATTGAGGGTGACATTAAGCGGAGAATATAATGATATAGAATCTTTGTTAGCAGTCTTAAGAACTAGATTTGCACCAATTTAATCTTCGTCACAATTGCACGGGGAACTTGCTAAAGTAACTCAACATCCCGACGAATCAGTAGTCGATTTGTGACGATACGCGTATTCGTCACTAGCGCGACGGCCCTGGCGGCCACCAAGCACATGTTCAGCGTGCGCTCCTGTGCCCGAACGGTGGGGCAACCGAGCGGTGGGGCAGCCCCAGTGGTGGGACAGCCCCCACCGACCGCACTCGGAGTATAAATAGGGGACTCGAACCGACTCGAGTCACCAGTCCTGTCCGACTCCTGTTCCCGACACAACCTCTCTCCGAGACCGCTTCACCACGTTGGGCGCTCCCAACGACTTCCTCCGCACAGAGAACGGGTGCTCCCGTTCTCACCTGGGCGCTGACGTCACCAGCCTGGGAGACCTACACGCACGCGCCGCGGAATATGAAGCTATTGAAGAGCAAAACCGCGAGCGAAAATCAGAGCGCAGGTCTCCGGCCACTACTCCGTCCGTTGCCAGTACGACGTATAACCGGGAGGAGTGCTGCTGGCGCTGTAAACAGCGCGGACACACCCGGTTGGACTGCAAACGGCCGGCCAAGAAGTTCTGCTCTCGGTGCGGCAAGGACGGCGTCCTCACCCGCGATTGTCACCCGACGCCGGGAAACGCCGCACGGGCCGGGGGCGAAGCCGCCGCCACCCGGACCCCGCCACCGTCCGAGTAACTTACCAGCCGCGGCCACACATCTCCGTCCGCATACGACACCGCGCTATGCGGGCGTTGATCGACACTGGCTCGGAGGTATCCTTTATTAATACGGACACCGCCCGCTACGCGGAGAACCTCGGATTCCCGACCCGACAGGGGACAAGTTCCGTTCATCTGGCGGACGGAGGGTCCATCCCAATACCCGGGACCATGACGCTCCCGGTAAAGATTAGCCGGAAGGTGCTGGAGCACGACTTCCTGATTATGCCGTCTTTACAAAGCGCCGTGTTAATCGGCGTCGACCTATGGGCCCGGACCGGGATCGTGCTACGGGCGACCGCACAGCGCAAAGACGCACCGACCTCCGCATGCGGAGCCGTAGCCCAGGGACTGGCCTCCCGAACCCCCGACAAGGAACGCCGCCTCCAGGAATTCCTGCTCACGGAACTCGCCCTATTCGAGGACATCCGCGGCCCGACCGACCGGATCTCGCACCAGATCCGGGTTAAGACCGACCGGCCCATTAAACAGCGGTACCGACCCAGGAATCCGGCCATGCAGGCAGTTATCGACCGGGAAGTGGAAAAGATGGAACGCGAGGACGTGATCGAGCCTTCCCACGGAGCTTGGAGCTCGCCTATTGTGTTGGTCCGGAAGAAAGACGGGTCGTATCGGTTCTGTATCGACTTCCGGCAAGTAAACGAAGTCACGGAAAAGGACGCATACCCCCTGCCACAAGTGCAGGCCACTTTGGATAAACTGCGGGGAGCCCGATGCCTCTCGACTCTGGACCTGAAGAATGGGTACTGGCAGATACCGTTAGCGCCCGATAGTCGGCCAGTCACCGCCTTTACGGTCCCAGGAAAAGGCCTCATGCAATTCCGGGTAATGCCCTTCGGCCTACACTCCGCACCAGCTACCTTCCAAAGACTACTTGACGAAATATTGGGGCCGGACCTAGCACCACATGTCCTCGTCTACCTGGACGACATTATCGTGGTCAGCCGCACCTTCGAAGAACACCTCCGGCTACTGAACGAAGTGTTCCGCC